TGAGAGATGTTGCAAATGTGAAATGGACAGTTTTGGCAGCAGATTGGATATGGAGGGGGTCTTCCATGAACAAGACACTCCCTCTCTCAGCTCTGGGCATTTTGTCTGGCTGTCCCCCATGCCTGGAATGCTTTCCTTTCTCTGCTGACTGCTGACTTCCTTGGCTTCCTTCATGTCTCAATGAAAATCTCACCTTCTACAGGAAGCCTTAACTAACATCTGTTAATTCCAGTGCTTTCCCTTTGTTAATCATCTCCTATTTATCCTGAATATAGCTTGCTTTGTGTATTGTATATTTGTTTGTGTATTGTCTCCCCCATTGGATTGTAAGATCCTTGAGGGCAGGGACTGTTCTTTACAAAACTCTTTGGTATCTCCAGTGCTTAGCACAGCACTTGGCACATAGTAGACACTTAATAAATGTTTATTGACTAAGAAATAGTAAGGAGTTAAGTATGATTCCTAGGTTCTGAGCCTGGGGGACTGGAAGGGTAGTGTTGCCTTCTGCAGTTACAGGGAAGGAAGGAAGGAAAAAGAGAGGGTTTAGGGGGAAAGATAATGAGTTTAGTTTTGGACATGTTTAGTTTCAAATATTTACTGGACATCCGGTTTGAGATGTCTGAAAGGCAGCTGGAGATGAGAGATTGGAGGTCAGCACAGAGATTTTAAGATAGTCATTGTTTCACATAGTCAGATGATTTATGACTATGAAATAGTTAAATGTATTTTATTTCATACTTAGTAGCCATCAAAAAAATCCTTTCTTACACACAAATAAAAATAAAAGCATATTATACATGAAACTGTACACATCTCTTGTTTATAATTGTTAGTGTATGTTAATTTTAGTAAAGTAACAGAAACTTCCTGTTTGCTTTTGTGCCCCTGTCTGAACTATCTTAATTTTAAAAAAATTATTGTTGCTGCTGCTGTTACTCCTCTGTCAAAGTCCTGTACCAGTGCTTCATCATGGTGTGGAGGTGACCCTTGGCTTTCCAAGTGGATGGCAGATGGGCAGAGGAGCATAGGCCTGGCAAAGCTGACCAAATTAGAAATGCTTCAAGTAGGGACACAGTGGTGGGCTCCGTTCCACTTTTCTCTCTCTTTTTTTTTTTAAAGGGCTAGACCTGTGATTCCACTGGTGTAGGGATCTCCTAGTAAAGAAATCCTTTCTGCCAATGCCAGTCAGTAGCTGCTCAGCAACTTAAAGTCAGAAAGCTTTTTGGGGGTCTGAGGGTTCAGTGACTTATCCAGAGTCAGACAGGCAGTATGTGACAGAGCTAGCACTTGAATCCAGGTCTTTCTGCCTCTGAAGCTAGATTTCTATTTATTATGCTATGGGGAAGCTAGGTGGTGCAGTGGATAGCGTGCCAGGCCTAGAATCAGGAAGATCCAACCTCAGACACTAGTTGTGTGACCCTGGGCAAGTCACTTAACCCTGTTTGCCTCAGTTTCTTCATCTGTAAAATGAGCTGGGGAAGGAAATGGCAAACCACTCCAATTATCTCTGCCAAGAAAATCCCAAATGGGGTCACGAAGAGACTGGACATGACAGAAAAACAACTGAACTGATGCTATAGGGCCTTGGTTTCCCTGTATCTTTATAGTTTTGATCTTAGTCATTTCTTATGGTGCAATAACTCCCATCATTTTCATCTACTATTCTTTATTCAACTTTTCCCTTGTCATGGGATATAAGGGTTGTTTCTAGATTTTTTACTATTACAAATAATATTGCTGTGAATATTATAATTTAGAAAGGCCTTTTTTTCTCCTTGAAAAATCTCCTTAGGGTAGTCTTGCTATTGGGATCACTGGGTTAGAGGGTAAGAATATTTTTCTAGCTTCTTACTATATGTAGTCATGTTGTTTTCCAAAAGGTTGTATTAATTAATAGTTCCACTGGCGGTATAAATAATATGCTTATGTTTTCCATAGCCATATTGGCATTGACTTTTATCATTTTGAACTATCTTTGCCAGTTTAATCAATATGAGATAGTATCTCAGAATGTTTTAAATTTGCATTTCTTTTATTATTAGAGACTTTAAGTAGTTTTTCAGGTGGTTATTAAATGTTTTTTCAATGGCCCAGGCAACTTTAAGATCTTAAGTTGCAGAACAGTTGCCAGTAGGGCATTGAAGGGGGTCTCGATGTTGGGAGTTCTGAAAGTGTACAGAAAGTCAATGGTCTGGGCCCACCTTCTACACCGCCCCGCCCCCCCATGTGTTCTCTCAAGAGCTTCTTGTTCTTGTTCAAATCTTTTGACTGCTTACCTACTTAGTACAGAAATAGATCTTACTATTAGAAATATGTCAGTTCTTTATAGATTTGAAATGTCAATTTTGTATCAAATACTTAAAACAAAGATTCTCCCCTTCCCATAGCTCTATCTTTCCTTTTTATTCTGTATGCAATTTTTTGGTCATGCTAACTTTTTTATATGACTAAAATTGATCTTTATAAAAACATTTCCTTTTATGTCAGTCTTCTCTCGTGGTTGGCCTTGGGGCTAAAGGGATAAAGTGTAATCTTACTTATGTGATGATTGAGTTTGGTGGTACAGGGGTTATCATTGCTTTAGATTCTTCTTTTTGCCAGCATAACTCAATCCGTTTACCTCAACAAACATTTATGGAGTAGTATATACATGCGAGGTACTTTTATAGGTGTCTAAGGGAATATAAATATAAGTAAGATTATGATCTGGGGAAGGCTAGAGATTAAGGCATATGTAACAATAGAGGTAATACAGAATACAAGGCCAGTGTGCTTAAGATTAGTACAAATCAAGTGCTATGAGAGTGCAAGAGAGGAAAGGAATCACTTTTTGATATTATTTTATTTTATATCCTGAATGGTGGGAGAGGGCTGGAAGGTAGGAAAAGAGAAAGTGCCACTCACTACCTGTAGTTTGACAAACTGTCAGAAAGGGTCACTGAAAAAGAATGATACAAACCAGTGCAACTGTTAGGGCCTTGAATTGCCTTAATTAGCATGCTGTTAGTTGAATGTCTTCACATAAATCTTAATGCCATCTAGTGGTGTGCCTTTGAGATTGGTTTGTTCTTATTTGCATCCTTTAACGAACTTTCAAGTATACACTAAAATAGGAAATTAACCCAAATATCCAGGAAAATAAATATTCTGGGTTGTGCCCTCAGCTTAATTATAGGACAGATTCTTGTCTATAGCATTTGTTTCCACATTGCTGACCATTGTAGTCACAATGTAGACAATGCTCTGCAATATAGGTGATTTTAAGAATTCAGTATGGAAGCCAACCCCACTGATAGTGGTGGCTCGATTTTTCTTTGTATTTCATTGACTGTATTTCTAACAAATTAATCTGACGTTTATAGCCTTTTGCAGTTCCTTATGAGACAGTGAGGTACTTACTCAATTCTCCCCCTTTTTTTGATAGGAATGATGTTTTTAAGATTCACTGGTTGATGGCAGCCCTTCCCTTCACAAAATCTTTGTCTTTGGTGTTCCACGCAGTATGTATAACATTTTTGTGTCCATTTTACAATGGTGTTCTTTTTTTGTAAGTGAATAGAAAGAGTGGATGAGTAAATTACCCTGAAGGAAGAGGGGTTAAGTGGGCAACAAATATTAATAGAATCCCTTTTTAATGAAGATCTTCATACTTCTAATGCCCATGGCTTGTCTAGATACTAAAACCTCTTTGCATACCTTTAGCACAGCATCTCCTAAATGCTTCCTCAAACATTGACTTTTGCCATTTCCTGAGATGAGAGTGCCATCTACTGAGTTATTTCCACCATTTACTGTAATTCCTGCATTTTTCTTGTTCTGGCATGCAGTTAATGATAGGACAGGGCTATTTAGTTTGCTTTTAACATGCTTGCTGTTTTTTATGTGTAAATGAATGTTTTAAAAGTTGAGCCATCAAAATTAAGTCAGTGCTTTTTGCATATAGGATGTTTCCAAGTCAAAATTAGACTTTGAGTTGAATTTTTAATGACTCAAACCTGTAGTAACCTGGGAAAAAAAACTGTTGGTTAATCTACAGATATTTCTTAAGGGCCTTCTGTGTGCCCACAGACCAGTGTAATGTCTGTATTTCTTCAAAGTTGAGAGCTACTGCTGCATAGATGCATTTTGTGATGGGAACTATAATTTATCTATTTAAGACCTCAGAGGAAATGAAAGCTGTTTTAATATTTTAGTTATCCTTTTAGGACCTTCATAAGAGAGTTCTTTTTCTGCTGATCTGGATAACATATCATAAGGCATATGACTTTTAGGTTGTGGAAAATATTTTGTTTTCAAAATAATTAATGCCGATAGCTTGTGATTCAGTTTTATTAGGGAAGATAAACTTGGAAACAAATGTTAGTCACTTTCCAAGTGTGCTAATCTAGATCTAGGCCAGTTGATTTATAGGATGTGTTTACATTTCTTTAGTGAGGGCTTGTGAGGAGGTTTAATGAGGGATAGTCTCTGAAGATCTTTAAGAAAAGGCAGCTGTCTCTTTTGAGTAATTCACATTTGTCTGCCTGAAGGACTAGGTGGCCCTTTTTGATCTCTTCAACTTATGTGAGTCTTTAGTTACGTGAAACTATACCCTTGTATAGGATTTATGAAACTGACCTGACATTTTGCCAGTGTAATCACATGCTGAATGTGACCAATGAAGTGACATTGTATTGAGAGGGTAGAATAATATATTACAGTAGTTAAATTATCTACATGTTATTTTAAGTGGAATTATGTGTGTGATGGGATGAGATTCTAAGTGAAAATTTGGCTTGCATTGAAGTGTTTTGAAATGACTGTATGCTCTGTGATTTTAGATTGATTACCACTACATCTCCTCTCAGGGATTTCCAATAGAAGGTTGGGCTGTTGTTTACTACATCACACATCTGTAAGTATCCAAGATAGTCCATTAAATACTGCTGCTATGAAATGCCATGTAAGATTCTGCCATAAGCGTGATTATCCATTAATGTGGCATTTATGCTTACCCTCTGCCTTAGTGAAGAAAAGCTGTCAGTATAGTCAGCAAATAGTTACGCAGGCTTGGGAGCTCATAGCATAGGTGGTAAACTCATGGAAGAGTGCCAGATCCTGTTGCTGCTATTTTGGGGCTGATGGATAAAATGAGAAAGTGCATAATAATTAGAAGGATAAAGTATCAGTGAGAGTAGTTATGTAGTTATCTCCTTTCCACAAAAAACATGTGAAATAATGAAATGCACTTTGAAATATTACTGGACATGGTGAGACTTATTGGTATCTCTGAAATCTTCAAAATTTCTTTTTCAGATTGAAAGGTGCACTATTGTTCATCACTATTGCACTCATTGGTACTGGCTGGGCTTTCATCAAACACATCCTTTCTGATAAAGACAAAAAGATCTTTATGATTGTCATCCCACTGCAGGTGAGGCAGCTCTGTACCTCAGCACTGATAACCCTCGAGGCATTGGTTTACCAACCTCTAACTTAGAAGTACAAATTTTACTTGTTGATTCCAGTTTTGATCTGGACAAGAAAGTAAGAGAAAATACTTTTTCATTGCCTTAGACTTTTAAACCAGCTTCTAATACTGTTTCGGAAAATGGCTGAGCCTAGACATATATGTGCACAGAAACTGTGTGTGCAGTATGGTATTCTAGGAAGAGTATTTGGCACATCAGTACCTACAAAGTGATTTGATTCTCCTCTTGAGAATGTTAGTTGCAGGATAAAGTGAAATTATGACTTTAAGAGATGATTGTTTTTCACTTCTTAATTTATATAATAAAACAGTAGATATATAAGTTTAAGATTCATGGGACCTTAGTGAAGGGACTTTTGAAAGAATAAGGTAGGAAAGAAACAGGGAATTGGAAAAAAGCTGCGTTTCAAAATAATTTGTATTTGTGGGAAATGAAACAAATTTTTACTTGAATCATAGAAATACATCACCTCTAATCCATTTAAAAAAGGAACTACAAGTAAGATGTTTAAAATAGCACATTTACATTTTTTAAAGATTTGTTAACAATGCTTTTTAAAAAAGCATTGAAAAGCTTTTTTAAAAAAATTTACATTTTATTTACATTTGTAATTTGGGGATGTCAGGAAAGTCAAGGAAGATATTTGGGGACTGCGAATTTTTCATGGTACTAAACATATGTAACCACTGTATCTTGGGTGATCTGGAATATTTAAATTGTAAATTTCTTCAGAGCATAAGCCACTTCATGATCTTTTGCTGCTATCATAAATCTCCCAATTGAATTGTTTTTCATAGGAAGTGAAACTACTGATGAGAAACCAAAACATAAAGTTATAAACTCAGGAATAGAATGCTTAGACAAAAATTAATCAAATGAAAAGTGCCAGTCTATTTCCAGAGTAGCTGGACCAATATCATCTTTAAGTTCTTTTTTTACACCCTTGCCATCTATTTGCTCTTATGGAAACCTGACTCCAGAAACCCTGCATTTCTGGCTACCCTCTCCAGTCCTGGTGTTCCCTTTTCTCATGTCCCCTAACATGTTGGACCAAGAAAAATAGTTAGCATACTTCTGTGTCACTTCCATATTATCCCTCTGACATTATAATTCAGCAGCAACTCCTGTGAGGTTCACTGCATCCATCTATATATCATCTAGTCTAGAGCCTTCTTCCCATAATCATACCGACTCCAGATCACTCTCTGTCCTTTCTTAAGGAGTGCCAGTACCTAGCTTAGAGTCTTCCTCTACATCCTGAGTGCTACTTTCCTACATGGGAACTTTAACATACACATTTATGTCCTCTCAAATGTTCTGACCTCTCAGTTCATAAGAATCCTCCATTACCATCATTTCCAACTTCAGTTGGTTTCTCCCCTCCACATACACCGCTTAGTTTCATTTTAGACTTTGTTGTAATCCATTATTGTTTTACTTCCATGATTTTGAACCCAGGAATTCCTCTCTTGCTTGGCCTCATTGTTCTTAAACCTTTTTATCCTACTACAGTTTCCAGTCCCTCCGTTCCATCCTGTTCTCCTCCCTGTTTGGCTTCACTTCCTTCTCACAATCTTTACCCAGTTTCTAGTTGATCAGTTCAGTTATATGTTTTCAATCTTGACTCTTTCCCCTCCTTGTCCTGCTGCTGTTTTTGTGCTGTCAGTCCTCATCCCTGGATTACTCTCCCCTCTACAGTCAGTGCGTTAATTGACAGGACTTTGTTAAGCACCTAGTATGTGCTAGACATGATACTAAGTACTAGATGAATGAAGATATAAATGAAAAAGCCCTTACCCTCAAGAAATTTATATTCTATAGGGGGAGACATCATGTACACATACAAAATAAATGTAAGATAAATACAAGAACTTCTAAACTGTTGAATACCATTGGTGGAAGTTATACCACCATTTCAACTGAGCTTTCCCTGCCATGCAGCAAAATGTTTATTTTTCCTTGATTGACATTCTTTCTCACCCCATCAGCAGCCATTCCAAATATTCTTGCCTGTCTTCAAGCCTCCAGTGCCTATTCTACCTTCTGTCTCCTTAGAGCAGTTGTTTCCTGGGGCTCTGTGCTGGACCCTTTTCTCCTTTTTCTCTTTATGCATGCTTTCTTGGAGATCTCTTCAACTCCAGTGAGTTCATTTATCTTTATACAGGTGTCTCTCAGATTTGTGTATCCAGCTTTAATCCAGCTTGAATTCTAGTCACACACTGTTAGTTGCCTACTGCTTATCTTTTCCTAGATATACCATAGGTATCTCAAATTCAACATATCTGAAAAAGAGCTCATTATCCTTGTCCTCTAAATTTGCTTCTCTGTCAAGCTTCCCTATTTTCATTGAGAGCATGACAGTCCTTCTAGTTACCCAGATTCATAACCTCAGAGTCATCTTTGACTCTTTACTTCTTATATCTGTTCAGTTGCCAAGTCTTGTCCATTCTACCTCCATAACATTTCTCCATCCATCCCCTTCCATTTACATAATTACCACATAGTATCTGAGGCTCTCATCACCCCGTACTTAAACTATTGCAGTAACCCTTTGATGGGTTTCTCTGATCCATCCTCTCCCACTCCAGCTTACCCTTCACACATCTGCCAAAATAATCTTTCTAAGGTACAGGTCAGACCATGTCACCCTTTTGCTAAACAACTTTCAGTGGCTTCCATTTGCCTCTAGAATAAAAGCCCTTTACAGTCTTGCTTCCATTTACCTTTCCAGTCTATTTTGTGCTTCCATGAACTCTGTATTCTAGCCAAATTTGACTGGTAGCCATTCTGATTAGCTCTTCCATAGGCCCGCCTTGAAATCCCTCTGCATTTTTGCTTCTCAAAAACCTTGTCTTCCAAGCTAATGCTATGTGCTGTCTTCTTCTAGAAGTTTTCTGGATTCTTCTCCCTCAGTTCCTGACTCAGTAAGCTCTTCGAGGACAGTCTTTTTCATTTTGTCTTTGTATTCCTGGTGTCTACCACAGTGCCTTAAAATGAATTAAAGCCAGCTTTTTCAAACTGTGAGGGAAGAAATAGGAGTTTTGGAGCTTATGATTTTCATCCCCCTCACCCCCGTATCACTGATATCACAGTTTCCACAATATCAAACCTAGAGGAGCTTCAGTTTCCAAAAATCTGAGACCCATGGAAGGGTCACCCTGGGTCCATATAGTGTAGGAGCTGTGGCCATGGGCCATAAAGTGCCAACTGCTCACCTGCTAGGAAGTTTAATCTGAGCTAAGGCCCAGTGTGCCTAAAACACGAAGATTGAGTGGGGAGCTGGAAGTGTGGGTGTCCAGTTCTCCTGCTTGGCTGCTTCTCCTGGGTCTGCTCCCTCCAGTGACCCTTCAGGATTCAGTGACTCATCATGTTCTGTAGGTCCTGGCAAATGTGGCCTACATCATCATAGAATCAACTGAGGAGGGAACAACCGAGTATGGCTTGTGGAAAGATGCTTTGTTCTTGGTGGACCTGCTGTGCTGTGGAGCCATACTCTTCCCAGTGGTGTGGTGAGTAACCCAGGAGTGCCCCATCTGCAGCTTGCAGAGTCTCGGATAGTAATTGACGGGAGGCTGAAAATGTAGGCTCATTAGTGATACAGTGTACATTTCCTAGATAAAAGAGCTCCATTAAATAGCATTTTCTTGCCAAGAAGAAGAAAAGTGAAATAGATAAAACTAAAGACAGATTTCAGCATGGAAAAAACTTCTTCAGCATAGTAACCATCTTCAGAATGGTTAGCTTTCTCCAGAGCACAGTGAAAAAGCAATTAGCTTTTAGATTTGTTTCTTTTAATTTGCTTTTATTTAAAGACTGTGTCCTGAGGTAGTAATAGATATAATGTTTCATGTAGTTAAGTAAATGATCTTTAGGGTGCTCCTGTCTAAGGTTCAAACAGTCAGCAAGCATTTAGTGTCTGCTCAGTGCCAGTGCCAGTGCCAGTTTCTGTGCTAGGTCTGGAGGATACAAAGATGAAAGATGAGACCATCTCTTCTCTCAAGGAGTTTATGTTCTATCAGGGGACACAGCATACACACACACACACACATACACACACACACACACACACACACACACACACACACACACACACACACACACACACACACACAGTGGTTAGGGAGTAAGGGCCTTGGTTGTTTCAAGAAGGAAATGAGGCATTCTTTGAGATGGAGGTGAGGAGCAAGTGCATTCCAGGCACAGGTGATGGCCACACAGATATGGAAGATGGACTGTTGTGTGTGAGAAACAGAAAAACCAATTTAGTTGGACCCCGTAAAGTACAGAAAGAGGAGTAATGTGTAAGGAGGCTAGAAAGATAAGTTGGGTTTAGTTGTAAAAGGCTTTAGAAGAAAAAATAGAGGAGTTCCTATTTCATACTGAAGGTAGTAGGGGATCGCTGCAATTTATTGAGTGGAGGAGTGATAGTCAGATCTGTGTTTAAGGAAAGTCCCTGTGGTAACTGTATTGAATGTGGATCAGAGCGGGAAGAGACTTGAAGTAAGACGAGCAGTGGGAAACTATTGATGTTAAAACTGGCGAGAGCTGGTGAGAGCCCAAGCTTAGGTGGTGTCTGAATGAAGAGAGAAAAGGGATCAGATGTGAGAAATGTTGCAGAGGTAGAAATGGCAAGATTTGTAACTGAT